CAGTGAGAGAGGCAGGGACCCTCTGGGATGGGACCCCAGTGCCTCTATGCCCTCTTACTGCCCCCTGCCCCTCCCCCGCCAGCCATGGAGGGTGTGGGGCTGCCTCCCCTCCTGTGTGCTATCAGCCGCAGCTATCAATGCTGTCTGTCATGTCACTAGGGCTCTCTGCCTCCCCCTCCGTGGGACGGAGCCGGTCTGTGCTCACCACTTGCGGTTCGTTGCATGGCTGTGCCTTGTGCTGTCATTTCCAGCTCTTGGTGACCCCCCGTGCCAGGGGACCCTCTCCTAGGCTGTAATCTTAAACAGAAGGAGGCTGACTCCTAGGCCTTTCTCCCATAGAGCTTCTGAGCGAGTAGAGCAGCTGGGAGTTTAACCACTGAGGCACCAGGCACACAACTGCTGTTTACTGTCGAGTCGGAGCTGACTCACAGCTGACCCTCCAACAGGCACGGGATGAGACTGCCCATCCTTCTCCCGTGGAGCAGCTGCTGGATTTGAACCTCGTGTCTTTGGGATTGCAGCACAGCTTCTTACCACTAGGCCATCAGAGCTCCTGGGGCATATAGAAGGTGCCCAATAAATGTTTGCTGAGTGACTGCATGAAGCCAACGGCTCCAGAAAGGGCTTCAGAGAAGTGGTGACCAGAAGCTGGAAAGAGAAGTTGTATTCCCAGGAGGAGGAGAGAAGAAAGAGTGCAAGGCTGGGAGGATATGGCAGGCTTCCAACTGGGGAGGCGCAGATGCAGGCATTTGACCCGGTTCTGTCCCCAGGCGGACCTGTCATGCCATCAGAGCCACCGCCCCTTAGCCTTGAGCTTCACAGAGCTCAGGTTCTGACCCCACCCTCTGTGGACACACAGCCCCCACCCCAGGAGCTCTCCAAGGTCCTGACCTCTTACCAGGCTGGGACGAGGCCAGCTGTCCAGGGATTCTCAGAGGCTCTCTGCTCCTCATCCTGGACTTCACGCCTGCCACCCACTAAGGGGACACTCATTCTGTCCTCTGACCTGGGGCTTCCAGAGTATACTCAGACTGCCAGAAGGCAGAGAGGGCACCTCACCTCAAATCCATTCTGAAAAGTTCCTTCTCATATGGCTCCAAGCAAACAGGCCTGCCCTCGGGTCCTAAGTGACAGGACAGGGCGGAGCCAGGGCTCTGTGTGCCCTGCACACCCATTCCTGTTGTCAGGCGGGACTCTTGGACTCCACACCGAAGATGTCACCACATTCACGGACTGCTCAGCTGGGGCTTTCTGGACACAGGGATCACTTCTAAAATCCTCACCCCATTCCCCAGGCTTCTGTGGTGCCAAATCCATGAGGCAACAGCTGAGTGTCCCTGAAAGTGAGTACAATGAAGGGACATCACTGTCCCATGAAAAGAAAGGGCAGCAGTGAGCCTGGCCGGCTGTGGCTCTGACCACGCCTCCATGGGTGGAGGCCAAGGGAAGTCCCTTTTCTGCTGTGGGCCTGAATCCTTCACTATCAGCAGGAGGAGGAGGGAGGGGCGACAGTTCTGATAAAGCTTCTTGCTTGGTCCCCACTTTGGTGACTAAATTTTTAACACACAAAGCAGCAAAAAGACCCTCTTAGATTGGGTATGGGAGCAGCTCAGGTGTAGACAGGAATGGATGAGGGTCCCAGATCCACCATTTAGGAGTCTGTGGGCCTCTTTTTTTTTCACCTGTGAAATGGGGATGCCAATGTCTGCATCCTGGGAACCAAATGGGAAGTCAGCAAGAAAGTGCATGCGGAAGGCCGGACTGTGAGTGGGTGGTCATGACCCTGTGAACGTGCATGCCGCTCTCTGTTCCTGCCACACGTCTCCTTTGTTTGGATTCGCTCCCTCTCCTCTTACAGGGACCCTTGTGATAACACTGGGCCACCTGGGTAATACAGGATAATTGTCCCATCACACAATCCTTGAATTAATTACATCTCCCAAGCCCCATTTCAAGTAACACGGTTACACATTAGGGGCTCTGGTAGTTCAGTGCATTAGGACGTGGGCTGCTAAGTGAATGGTTTGGTGGTTTAAGCCCAGCGGGAGCTCTGTGGGATAAAGAGGGGGCTGTCAGCTCCTGTAAAGGTTTATCATCTCGGAAATCTCGTGTTCTGTTTTGTTCTGTCCCAGAGGGCTGATCTCAACCAGAAGAGATCTGACAGCTGAGCTTACACAAGCTGAGGCTCTTGTTGAAAGGTGCCATCGAGCTGGAGCTGGCCCACAGCTGACCCTCTGGTGGGTTTTCAGAGGTGACTAGTCGTCTCTCTCCAGAGCAGTTGGTGGATTCAAACTGCGTGCCTTTGGGTTGGCAGTGCGACTCCTTACCCACTCGGCCACCAGAGCTCCCTTTCTGAGTTAGGATGTGACACTTTGGAGGACGTCATTCTGCCTGCCACATTCACGAGGCCGTCTCCTCTCTCTCGCCCTCTACTTCCCCTGGTCACTGGTGGTGATTCCCTCTCAGGGCCGCTGGCCCTTCTGTCTGGGGTTCCTGTCCTCCCCGGGGTGGACTTTAGACTGATTCCAGATATCACTCCAAGGCTGTTAAAGGGCATCGCCTGGGAGAGGTCCTCACTCCCTGCAGTTTCAGCCAGTGGTCCGCCTCTCACTCTTTGTCACTCAGCCCTTCTAACTTTCTCACCATCTCTGCCTGCTAGCTGCTAATTCCTGCTGTTCTCAGGACAGTGTGCATGCCCTGAGGGTCCTGCCTTATCGCCATCTCGCTGTCTGTCTCTCTTGCTGCTGCTACACCCTGGTGTGGACGAGGCTATAATGGGCCCTCAAGGCCCCAGCCAAAGACCTGAGGACATTCCCTCCTCTCACAGTTTCCCTTCTGTTTGCTTGTTTGTTTGCAGTTTTTTTTCCAGTCACTTCTCACTTGGAGGAGGAAGAAAGAGCCGAGAATTACAGTTCTTTCCAGGGAGAAGGAAATGAGCATCAGGGCCTGGGCCCAGGGAGGCGAGGGCAGAGGTCAGGCCTGCTACCTCCTCTGAGTCAAGAGCGGCTTCCTAAAAAGCACTGGGGACCGGCCCCTCTGCCTGAGCCCTCTGTCCTTCTCCCGTCCTTCCTACCTCAAAGGACTTGAGAGTTCCCAACTCAAGCCCTTCATCTATGGCCAAGGGAACTGCAGACGAGGAGAGGAAGGGGCGTCCCCCATGCACAAGGCACCTGCAATCTAGGAGCCTGCGTGGGCATTTCTCCCACTCACCCCTAGAGTCTCACTTCCTCCTGAGCCTGAGGACAGCCTGGAAGGTGGGGGGCCTTCATGCTAAGGTCAGCAGGTCCAGTGGAGACACCCTCAGCCCTTACTGGGGCCCTGGCGCCAGAGGAAATGCTACCAGAGTTCAGAAATTCCTGTGATGCAAAAAACCCGGCTCCTCCTTGGGCTGGGAGGGGTACAGCTGGGGGAGGCCCGGGCCTGTCCCCTGAGCTCCATCCTCCTCTGGGCACCAGCCTTGCATGTTCCAGGCACTGTCCAGGCGCCTCAGGTCAGTGACACAGGGACCAAGGGCCAGTTCACCTGGGTGGATTGGCTGAGGGCTGAGAGGGCACAGCAGTGGCCAAGGTCACAGCCTCCACTGTGGGGCAGCAGGGAGATTCAGGGTGATGCTGGCCCTCCCTGGTCATGGTGGTGGTGGTGGTGGGATCCCAGCTCCCGGTCCAGACTAGCCCCAAGCACCTGGGTCTGGTTCCAAGGACACTTGATCTGTTCAGGTTCACAGGATCTGAGCTTAGAAGGCCACATGCTCGGTTCACTCCTGTGCTGCCTCTGATTTAAACATTTTACTGTTTTCTGACATGGCAGCATGCTTTCATTTATCCATTGGGCCCCATAAATTATGCAGCTCGCCCTGTAAGCCCAGACTCAGCCCTGTACCCTGCACATCCAGGGAGGGTGCAGAGGGCTGTGATGTGGTCACACCTGCCTGGGCCTGCTGGCAGCTGGAGGTGTCACCTCTGCCCTTGCGACAGCCCCTGAACCAGTCACTTTTGGTAACTTTAGGGTAGAGCCTGGCTCTCTGGGGTGAGACATCTGACTGTTAAGCATCAAAAGAAAGCTGCCACCGGGTTCTCGGGCTGGTTTGGGATCATCTGTGTTCACAGGGAGCGTTGTAAGTACCACCTCTCAGCAGCTTCTAAGGCGTGAGAGGGCAGGAGGAGCGAGTGTGAGCCTGGGGGTCAGGCCGGCTTGGTCTAGACCCTGCATGGGCTCTCTGCAGGCCGGGTCATCTCCGGGTGATCTTCGGGTGATCTCCGGGATGCTATTTCAAAGTCTGAGCTTCAACTCGTCAATAAAAAGAGGGTTCCAATCGTACCTACCCCAAAGGCTTGTGGGTGGATTAAACCAGAGAATATAGCCAAGTTCTTGGCAAACAATGAGCTTTTGGAAAACACTGACAATTAGGGAGCTCTGGTGGCCTAGTGGCAGGAAGCTGCACTGCAATCCCAGAGGTGCATGGTTTGAATTCACCAGATGCTCTGCTGGAGAAGGAGGGACAATCTCCTGCTGTAGCAGTGAGATCTGATTTGACGCTACACACACTAAAAATAATAATTAAGAAAAAAAAAACAAAAAAGAAAACACTGGCAATTGAAATCAGGCCGATTTGGGTTCTATTCTCGGGCCTAGCAGGCTCGCTGGTGTGAACTAGTGTGAGCAGAATCTCTCTGTAATTCGGTTCCCACATCTGTGAGATGGGGCTAGTCTAGGGGCCAACACCCCAGGGCTTTGAGGGCCACTATCACTATCATCTCTGCCTCTGCCCCAGGATGACGCAGGCCGTCTCTGCGTTTCCGCATCCCCTGCACTGCTTTCATCCGACAGGTGCGGCAGGACCAGGAGGAGATGGGTTCTGGGCCTGCAGCAGGGTCTGGTTCCACAGGTCTCAGCAGGAAATGAGGGATTTCAGTTCTTGCTGGGATCTAGCCACATCCTTGGGCAGTGACTGCAGTCCCCTGATGGCCTGTCCTCTCCCACAGAAGCAGCCCTCGGGGATGATGCAGACCCTTAGAATGCTGGTCGCCATGCTGGGGGCCTGTCTGGGCGTGCTGGCAGCAGCTGCAGCAGCCACAGGCTTTAACACGGCCCAGCAAGGGCTCTCCAACATGCTGCCCTCCCACCATCGACAGAAGAGAGCCTGGATTTGGAACCAGATGCACATTGATGAAGAGAAAAACAGCTCACTCCCCCACTATGTGGGCAAGGTAAGAGGGCAGGCTCCCGAGTCGGGGAGCTCCAAACCCGCCAGCCCCTAGTGACGGTGGTAATGAATGGCCGTGAGAATGATGGCCACGTGGTGTGGATATGGCGGTTAAGATGATGGTTAAGGGAGTGGTGGCAATGGCGGCTGAGATAGTGAAGATGGGAGATGTGGTGGTGGTTGTGACAAGAGAGGAGAAGGAAGTGGTGTTGACGGGCGTGGTTAGTGATGAGCACAGAGGCGGTGGGAGAGGTGACAGCGGGGGTCAAGGGTGATATGGTGATGGTGGTAATGATAAAGTGAGGCAGAAACTGGTAATGGTGGTGGTGGTGATGAGAGGGGTGACGGTGACCACGGGCATGATGACAGTGGTCACAGAGGAGGTCAGAGTGGTAGTAGCTGTGGTGGCAGTGGTGAAGGGAAGTGGTGAATGGATAGTGGTGGTGGTGGTGGGAGACGTGGCGGTGACCATGGACGTGATGACGGTGGTCCCACAGGTGGTCAGAGTGGTGGTAGCTGTGGTGGCAGTGGTGAAGGGAAGTGGTGAAGGGACGGATGGTGGTGGTGGTGGCGCAGTGGTGTAACGGTGATGGAGGAGTGACAGTACTCACAGTCACAGGAGTGATGAGCGAGTGATGGTGATCATGAAGTGGTAGTGGTGACCGTAATGGCAGTCCTGGTGCCTGGAGTTAGAAGGTGAGGGCGGTGGTCACAGCTGTGGTGACCTCAGTATGGAGATGGTGCTAACAGCCGTGGTGGTGGTGGTGATGATGGCGGTGGTGGTGATGGTGGTGATGGCACCGATGGCGGTGGTGATGGTGGTGGCAGTGGTGGTGATGGTGGTTGAGGTGGTGGCAGGGGTGGTGGCGGTGGCGATGTTGGTGGTGGTGATGGTGGTCGTGGTGGTGACAGCCACAATGGTGGGAACAGTGAGCACTCCGATTTCCTTTTCTCCCCGGTCTTCATCTGCCGACTGGCTATTGCTAATAGAAGGGTCACCCTTGCACAGGCTGATGAGGCAAGCCTGGCCTGGTGGGTGGAGGACTTGAAAGGAAGCAGCAAAGGCTCAAATACCGACGGCACTACACAACGCCAATTCCCATGAGGTCAGACACGCCCACCTGCACCTACTCTCACTCATTGCAGTAGTCACCCCGCAGTAACCATCCTAATACACTACTGCGCCCCAAATCCAATAACTAAATGGACCTCACAGAGTCGTACTCACGATTACGGGGTTTATTAGGGAAGTCAATACGTTATGGGGCTTTGGTGGTCTAGCGGTAAGGAGCTGCCCTACCAACTCAGAGGCAGGGGTTTCGAATCCACCAGCTGCTCTGCAGGAGAAAGATGAACTGCTGAAAGAAAGAACAAGTCAGCCTCGGAGGAAGTACAGGCTCCTTAGAAGCAGGAGTGGGGAAATCTGGTCTGATAGACCTTGGGCGTGTTGTCAGGAGGGTCCTCGGACAAGTGAATTCTCCTGGCAAAGGTGGTGGGACTCTGAGAAGAAGACTCTCAACAAGCCGGGCTGACACAGTGGCGTAACAATGGGCTCGAGCCTGGTGGAGGTCAGGAGGCTGGCCCAGGATAGGGCAAGGTCGGGATCGGCTGTTCATAGGGTCACTACGAATCACAGCTGATTTAACAGCATCAAACAACAATACTACAAAAACACCATCGGAGAGAAGACCCTTGCCCGCACAGCAACTCTGGGGCAGAGCCCAGGAGCACCAAGGACTCTTGGCCACCCGCTCAGTTCTGTGTCAAACAGGAAAAGGTGGTCGGTGCACCTATGTCCCTCCCAACATGGTGACTGTGCTGTGACTCATCTCTGGAGAGAACGGCCAGCCTGGGAAAACTCTGGGGTGGGTCGGTGAGAGGGCCTGCGGCACACACTGCCGTCCAGGCGGCCTCAGAAAGGTTCACCCCCCAGCCCCATCCCCGAGTCTGGGGAAGCAGGAAGAGCGTCACCCACCAGCTGCATGGACTTGGCTACCACACTGGGTGCCACAGGAAGTCCCCACCCTGGGGAGGCACAGGGGTGCCCATAGAGGCAAGGACGGACTCCAAGGCTCACCTCTCGACCCCAGTGATGTCATGCTGGGGAAGGAAGTCCCTGTTTATAGAGACCAGAGCTCGGACCTTTTGTTTACTGCCTGGAACAGACCACAAGAGCAGGTCTGAGACTTTGGAATCCACAAAGGAGGGTCAGTGTCCAGTTAGACTGATGGAAAAAACTGGAGGGAAGGAGAGCAGAAGCTTATATACAACAGCCCCTTCTAGGAAATGCCAATATAACAGATCGGAGCTGTCTGCCCCCCTCACCACCTTGTCCATGTGGGTTTGAAGGGACCACTCACCCAGAAGCAAGCTGGAAATCTGTCATCTTATTATAACTCCAGTGGCCACCCATGGCTCCAGCCCCTCCTCCCATGGTCCCTGTCCTCCAGTTACTAGTTCAGCACCCCAACTCTCTTCCTCTTCCACCCCTCCCATCCATCTGCTCAGCATATGCACTGGCCACTGGACCACTTTACGACCATAGGCCCCCCTCACAGTAGCGCCAAGCTCCAGGGTGCTGCCCCATTTCTCTCACCCTCATTGGGGGGGGGTATCCTCACTCCTTGACTCACTTTCTAGAATTTTCTCTACACACTGCCATCTGGATTTTCACCCCAAGGCTGCCCCCCGCCCCCAGGGTGCCAATAACCGCCCTGCTATGAAACCCCAGGACACTTTGCTGACTTCCTGGCACCTGACCACACCCTTCTGGAAACACCTTCTTTTCTCTGGAGCCCCCACTCCCTCCTGGCCCTCATCCAGTCTCTCCAGTGGGTCCTTATCAGGCATCTCACCTAAGTTTCTGCTCCTCGGACCAGACGAGCTAATTTCAACTCAGAGAAATGAAGTCACCCTGGCCTTTCCTGTTTCAAAGACTTCCCTTCTAATGACATTGTCGTGGCCTGAGTTGTGTCTCTCAAAATTATCTATTTGTCATGACATAATGTAGAAGTTAAGTAATTATCTGCAAAATCTGATAAACTGAGTAGTTGTAAAAGCATTTAGGGTGGAATGCAGCCCCCCTTAAAGCCCAGCCCAATGCAAGAGGAGCTTCCCTGGAGTGAGGTCTGTAATAATTTTCATTGTCCAAGAGATAAATGGGAGGAAAGCATCTGAGAAGGGGGGACAGAGTGTCAAGAGAGAACCACCAAGTAGAGTGCGCCCTTCTGGACTCAGGTTCCTGAGTCTGACAGTGGGGAAGGTCAAGGTACCCGGACAGCTCTGAGGGATGCTGGGTCTACACATGCTGAAGAAATCAGGGACTATCCTTAAGAAGTGATAGACCAAGAGGCTTCCCATAGAGCCAGCACCTCAAATTTGTACTTCTAACCTCCTAGAAGATGGGAAAAAGAACTTCTATTTCACTGAAGCCATCCACGTATGGTACGTGTGGTTTCTCTGTTACAGCACCATCATCTAAGACAGGCACCAAGTACATGCCTTCACTAAAAAACCATCTGCAGAGCACGTCTAGGCTCCAGACGTGGTTACAGCGTTCTTACCGGCACACGGGGGCACTGTGCCAGGCGGCTCGCAGGACTGCCATGCAGCGACCGGGCCGAGAACTGACTGTCGACCAGCCATAGGCTCTTGTCAGCGTGACGCTGTAGCGGTGGCATTATGCACTTGTCAAAGCCCACAGCACAGTGTACCCACAGCCCCGCTGACTTCCAATTACAAAATTCAGTTCATAATAACAACAACGGATTAAGAGCAAATGGGTTAATCAGTTGTAACAAATGAACCACTCCAAAAGCAAGATGCTGACAGTGAAGAAGTTGATGATGTGAGGTATGGGTCTTATTTCAATTTTCTGCAAATGGATATTCCATTTAGCTAATACTACTTGTTAAAGAGGTTGCCTTCCCCCCCCGCCCCTTCAGTGAATGTTATCTTTTCGTCAGAGATCATTTGTCCAAGGTGGCTGGATTGACTTCTGGGCTCTCGATCCTGTTACATGACTCTGTGCATCTGTCACCATGCGGCTATCAGGTTGTCTTATTACAGTGACGATGCAGTAAGTAGGTTTTAAGATCAAGAAGTATGAGGCCTTCTGCTTGATTTTTCATGTCATTGTTTTTTTCCTAGAAATACTCTGATTATATGAGGTTGCTTTCTGTAAAGCTGGTCGTTACTTTTCCCATCTCTCTGAGGAATTCTGACAGGATCTGAATTAGGATAAACCTGCGGCGAGCTCCAGAGGGGGTTGTACGTGGATTCAGGAGCAGCGCCTCCCTGGTAATCCACTCCCCCCGTGTCTCGGGAGAAAGAGGACAGTCCTTCCCCTGTGATTTGCTGCCTCTGAAAACCTCCTGGACGCTCAGCTACAAGTTGGTTCTGACTTGACAGTACACAACAACAAACCCTATGGCATAAATATACCATAAAATAGAAAAGAACAAACAGCACATGATTGACTAGGCAACTGGAACCTCCTAAAAATAGAATCGTCATGTGCATTTAAAGCCATTTTTTTTAAAAAAAAAGTAAAAGAGAACTTACACACTGAGAGAAAAAAAATTTGGCAATGATACGCTAGACAAAGGACTCATCTCTAAAATTTATAGAACACTCCTGTTGGATTCCAACAAGACAAGCAACTAAATTACAAATTGGGCAGAGGACATGAACAGACAGTACCACGAAGGTATCAGCTGGCCAACACACACACACATGAAGAAAATGCTCAAGATCATTCTTTTATCAGAGAGATGCAAATGAAAGTAACAGTGAGATACTATCTCAGCCCAGCTACAATAGCCAAGTTCAATAAGACAGCAAACAACAGATGCTGACAAGGGTGTGGAGAGATTCAAACTCTCAACACAGCTGGTGGGAATGCAAAATAGTGCAACCACCACTATGGAAGGCAGTTTAGGGCTTCCTTAGAAAACTGGACCGAAATGCTATTTGGCCCAGCTATCCCACTACTTCTTTGCTTTCTGCAAGCAAAATTGCCATCCATATAAATCAGGTTGTTAAATAGTCTTGTTCCAGTCCTGATGCCACATTCTTCTTCAGAGTCCAACTTTGCAAATGATTAGCTCAGCATATAGATTGGATAGGGACTAAAAAAGATACAGGCCTGACACACATCTTTCCTGATTTTAAACCCCGAATTTCCCCTTGTTCTGTTCCAATAAGCACTTCTTGCTCTATGTATAGGTTTTGCATGAGGAGAATTAAGTCTTCTATAACTCCCATTATTCTCAAGGGTAACCATAATTTGTTATTATCCACACTGTGAAATTTTTTTGTATAGTCAATAAAACACAAGTAAACCAAGATCAAACCAACATCATCAATAATATCCCTTATGCTATGGCCTCTTCTGAATCCAGTTTGAATTTCTGGTAGTTCCCTGTTGATGTTCTATGCCAGCTGTTTTTGAAAAACATTCAGCAAAATTTTACTTGCATGCGATATCAATGACAGTGTTTAATAATTTTCACATTCTGTTGGACCAGTTTTTTTAAAAAATGGAGACAGGGATCTGTTCCAATCAGTTGACCAGGTACCTATCTCCCAAAAGGCTGGTGAGTTTGTTCAGGGCTGCATGTGTTTCTTGAAATCAGCATTCCAACTGACATGACCTTGCTTGCAGAAAGTGAAGAAGACCTGAAGCACTTCCTATAGAAGATCAAAGACTACCGTCTTCAATGTGGATTACACTTCAATATAAAAAACCCAAAATCCTCAACACAAGGTCAACAGGCAACATCGTGATAGAGTAGAAGATTGAAATTGTCAATGATTCAATTTTACCTGGGTTTATAGTAAACATCTATGAACAACAGTCGAGAAAGGAAATGAGGTATTGCATTGGGAAAATCTACTGTCAAGGATGTCTCCAAAGTGCTAGGCATGAGAATGTCACTGTCACAAAGACCAAGGTGCATCTGACTCAAGTCATGGTATTTTTTTTATTTTTTTGCTTTTCTCCCCACGAAACCACCTGTTTGTGGTCTTCTGAGAGCCGTCGTATTTATTACAGTGCAAGACATGCGCTCCAGTTTCCCTCCTTTGTCTACCGGATCCGCAGTTCTGCTGCGTGCTCCAGCCTGAGACCAGAGTTTGTGGCCTAAACGCTTGTCATAAACATATTACATGCTGTTAGGTCTCAAATACCAGACATCATACTACCATTTTCTTAGCCTATGTTTATTTGGTTTTTTTTTTTAAACATATGTCCTTTCTTTATGTTTTTAATTCATTTTAATCAAAGTTTAAAGACTTAGGGTTTCCAGTCATTCATTGTTACACTTTTCTCCCTGCCCAACTCTCCCCTCAAATCACTCTTCTCCCTGAAAAGGGAAAGAAAAACTTTTATTGTTATGCAACCCCTCTCCCCAAATCATGGTATTTTTAATTGCTTCCTATGCATCTGAAAGTTGGACAATGAGTAAAGATGACCAAAGAAGAATCAATATTTTTGAGTTATGGTTTTGGAGAAGAATATGGACTGTTCCATGGACCGCTCAAGTACGAACAAGTCTGTCCTGGGGAAGTGCAAACATGTTGCTCCTTCGAGACAAGAATGGGGAAACTGCATCTCACATATTTTGGGTATACTGTCAGAGGGTGGGGTAGTCCTTGGACATCTGGGAAAGGGACACACTGGGAAAGGCTGAGGTCAGGGAAAGGCAGGCCTTCAGCAAGGACTGACACCGTGCCAATAACATGCTCAGGCATGGCAGACCGTGAGGATGGGCCAGAGAGGACAAGTTCCAATCTGTGGTTCATCACGGTGCTATGAATTATAGCTGATGGCTGACAACAAGTAAATATCCTAGATAAGTGAGAGCTGCAACATGAACAGATACACGCACACCCATGTTTATCACAGCATTATGCACAATAGCAAAGAGATGAAAACTATTTATCAATGATAAATGGTTAAAGAACCTACTACAGTCTCAATGGAGTACTATACAACACTGGCAAGAATTTGATTAGCACTGCATAACACAGATACTTGTAGAGGACATCAGGTAACATCAGATAACTCCATTACAAAGGACAAATGGAGTATAATATCACTACTGCAAAAAGCTAAAGGCAGGATTCTACCCAGAAGGCACCTGTGTTGGATGGATACTAGAGATGAGAAGGAGGAGAGAGGGGAGTAAAAATTTGTAAATAAGTAACAGACACCTATTAAGATGGACGTTGGGAAAGGCAATATATAACAAGGGATGATCAGCACATATCACTAAAGGAAGGAAGACAGAGGTATAGAAAGATTGATGGAAATCAGAATTACGGGGGGGGGGGGAATGGGAAAAGGGGAATTGAATTATGAGTACTAGATTTACCCTTGTAGAACAAAACATGTATGAATGAAAAAGTAATCTGATTTGTAAGCCTTTATTCAAGTCACAAAAATCCTTCAAAAATGAAAATAAAGTCTACTTATTAAATAAAATAATGTGCGGTGCCACGTGTAGGGTCCCCCGGCCAGCCCACATGCACATACAGACGTGCATGAGTGAGCAAACAGATACGTATGCATGCATGTGCACACACGGTAGCCACTCCTGCCCATCTGAGCTCACAACACCCTCTTCATTCCCAGATCTTGTCAAGTGTGAACCGCAAGAACGCCAAGTACCTGCTCAGAGGTGATGCTGCTGGGAAGGTCTTCCAGGTGAGCGCAGACTCGGGCATGGTGTATGCCTTTGAGAGGCTGGACCGGGAGAAGATAGCCCAGTATCACCTCACTGCTTTCATTGTGGACAAAGACACCAATAAGGACCTGGAGCCTCCTTCCAACTTCACCATCAAAGTCGATGATGTGAATGACCACTGGCCTGTGTTTGCACAGCGACTGTTCAATGCATCTGTGCCTGAGATGTCGCCTTCAGGTATGTGTCCAATCTGTCTCTCTCTCTTCTCTCATCCCAAGCCTGGAGCCTCTTCTCACAGATCCACTGCCAGAGGTTGAGGCTCAGTGAGTTCAGGTGGAGGCCGCTGTTTTCATGCCCAAGTTGCCTGCCATTTTATATGATCTCAAAGACTCTGCTCCCCAGACAAAGTCCTGATCCCAGTCAGACCCTATGCCTAGACTGAGCCCAACCCTACACATGGACTGAGCCATGACCCTACACATAGACTGAACCATGACCCTACACATAGACTGATTCATGACCCTACACATAGACTGAACCATGACCCTACACATAGACTGAACCATGACCCTAGACATAGACTGAGCCATGACCCTATAGACTGAACCATGACCCTACACATAGACTGATTCATGACCCTACACGTAGATCTGAGCCCTGATCCCATGTATAGACTGACCCCTAGACTAAGCCCTAACCACATGTATAAACTGAGCCCTGACCCAATACATAGACTGAGCCCTGACCCCATACATAGACCAAGCCCTGATCCCATG